ACAACTAAATTAAACAATAAAAAATAAACAATTATTAATAATTTATTTATTTCTTTATTTTTTTCCATGGAACTCATTTCATGTGAAACGAACCAACAGCATTTGATGTTAAGACAGATTTTTTTTGTGCCAAGTAGGGGGGAGTTGGATAAAACGGGATACCATTATTGTTTTTATTTACTACGGAATATCTGTTAAGGAAAACCATAAATTATTTTTTTTGTAGCTACAACATTTATTGAAGCACACAAAAAACATATTTTAAACTAATTTTAATGACTGTGAAATAGAAAAAAAAATTAATTTCCAAACTCTTACGTATACCGTTTTAGCATACCTGGGTTAGATAAAACGGGATAGGGTTTACAATGTTTAATTTTTTGCATATATATAAATATAAAATTATAAATAATGCAAATATATAAATAATATTGTTTATATATAAAAAATCTCACGTCTTTATCCGAGAAATACATTACAATTAGTTCTAAAGAAAGATGTGAAATCCTAGAGTCGAAAATAAAAATATAATTTTCAAAAATACATATAGCTTATATAAATAAGTTGTATAGCTAACATAAAAACATATATATATATATATAGCTAACATAAAAAACTCTATCCCGTTTTATCCAACTCACAAGTGTCCCGTTTTGTCCGACTCCGACACTTTTTGAAACAAACATGGCTGCGGCCAAAATGTGAAAAGAAAATTAGATAGACTGCACATAAAAATATTGGTAAATATTATTTTTGGTAAATATTTTATTCCCATATATGTAGGCAGTACAATGTAAAAAACAACGCATGTAAATGTGGAAAATGGCAAAAAATAGAGTAAAAAAGTTCTGAGACCTACAACTTTCTATCAAATAGGCAAATATCTCGAGGCGGGACGCACCTAGAATGATATAATCACGGTCGAATAACACGTTTCTGTCGTTGTCCTCTAGATAGTTGCAATAGTCTAGTCCCTAAGCGACGTATCCCGTTTTGTCCGACTATCCCGTTTTATCAAACTCTCCCCTACTCGTTGAAAAAACACTAAAATATTTTTTTTTCAATTTCTTTCCGAGTTAAAGACAACGATTATTGGGATATTATAAAATTTGAGACAATTTAACAAAATGGTGTAACTAGAGATAGTGGCTCATAATATCATAATCGTCCATAACATTTTCATATTTTTGCCAATTTATTTAAACTTGGGATCATTAGAGGGAAAAAAGTGAGAAAGTGAGGACTATGTAATTCAATTAATTAAATGCTGTAATCTAAACATAAGTGAAAAAAATTTTCAAACATTTTTTTTAAGACATCTTAAAAATTCTTTTTAATTTTTTTAAAATATTTCAATTTTTTTTTTACAGGGAAATCACAATTTTATACCATTTCAATTTTTCCCTGTGATTTTAAAATTTTTCACCACACACACAAAATATAAAAAGAAATCAAAAGAGTATTTTTTGATTTTAATCTTCAAAACAAAATTAATAAGTTGATTTAGTAAAAACACTTAAGAGTGTTTCAGTATGAAATTAAGTAGAAAAAATAGAAATTAAAAAAGAAAATGAAAATAGTATTTTTTCTTATTGAAAAAATAAAAATTAAGTTTTAGCAGAATGTTTGAAGCACTTCTAATAAAAAAATAACAAAATTCTCCTAGCTCATTTTTCTACGTTTGTCAACATGAAAAATCAAATAATTTGTTGGTCATGAAAGAATGTGAAGTGGTTTCACCAAAAATATTAATGTTGCAGTATAGATGGGAATAAAAGCCAAAATATTCAAAGCTTCAATAGTTTTTTTTTAATATTTTGTTGTAATTTTATTTATTTTTTAACTACAGAAAACAAAAAAAATAAACTTTGATATTTTCTTTATTGTCCGATAAAAAGCATGATAATTATATGTGAGGAAAAAATTAAGATAATTTTTTCTTCACTTAATATTATGTAAAGAAACATTGAGATCTCGGATTTGGCACTTAAAAGTATAAATATTTTGACTGGTTTGATAAAATTTGGAAATATTTTGACTAAAAATCACAATTTAATTTTTAATTGCTGAAAGCTATTTCTAATTTTTTATGTTGAAAACTATAAAATTTATATAATGTAAAAAAAAAATTGTAAACGGGAAGCTTATTATTTCTCTTTAAAAGCATTTCGTAATATTTTTGGGAAATATGTTATTAAAAACTACTATTTTTAATGACAAAACAAAAAAGGAACAGTTTCTTGACTTTTATATTAAAAAATATGGTATTTAACAAAACACGAAAATAAATTGAGGTTGTATAAATTTGTGATTTCCCTGAGAAAAGTTCCTGAAATTCCCAAAATATTTTTCGATAAATTATTTAAAAAAAGTGTGTTTAAAAAAAAACACTTTTAAATACTTATGTACCAGTATTTTAAAAGAATTGCATAGTTCTCACTTTTTTTTCTATCTAATAACACCAAAACTAAGAAAAAAGTTATAGTTTTTACGAACATATGAACTACCTTCACTATAGTTACGCCATTTTATTAACACTAGATTACCAAAGGAAGTCATTTTGACTGCTTTTTAATTTCAATTTGAAAACCAATGGTGCATATAATGACACAATTTCTTAAAATTTTGTGACTCTTTGTACAAAATATAACTTTTTTATTGTTAATATTTGCTAATAACTTTTTATATAACTGTGAATAATTTAAGAAATATTTAAAAATTAACTTTAAAAAACTTTTTTACACATTACTTATTCGTTTTTAATCCAGTCATTTTGATTGCTTATGGGCAATATAGGTATATACTAAGTTTCAGTCTTTCTAGTGTTAAACAGAATCAAATTTCGAAATGGATCCGAAATCGTAGTTTCAGTACAAAAATTTTGTGAAGATTATTTTAGTCCTTTTAGTCCTTTAGTCCTGTGTTCCCCAACCTTTGTATCACCGCGGACCTGTCAGTGTTTGATAATTTTACCACGGTCCACTGGGGGGGGNGGGCGTTGATTGTTTATTTTTAAGATTACTTTGATTTATTAATTTTAATTTAATTGCATTTAAACATGCCTTCAAAATAAAATACAGTTACGCCAAAAAGTGATATAACATTTTAACTTACTAGAACGTTAAATCAATGAGAACCCTGAGCTTGCTTCTTTGCAATTAGACTGTTCCATCTGGGGGTAATCGGAGATAATGACACCCGAAGTGTGTTGCTTATGTCCAGTTTTTTCCGTTGCTTTGTTTTGGTTACTGTTAGTGCAGAAAACCCCTCTTCACACAGATAGGTTGTCGAAAATGGCAAATTGGGATTTAAGTGCTGTGGTGACAATCTCGGGGTATTCTGCCTTGACTTTAATCCAGAACACCGGCAGAGTTGTTGTCTCGAACGTAGTTTTAAGACCGCCATCATTTGCAATCTACATCAGCAGATCTTCTTCTTGCACAGACATGCTAGATTCGCCCGATTTGTTCACAAATGGGACGCAGATCCATTCCGTACCAGATATTTTTAATTTGGGGTATAAACCTAAGAATTTAAATTCAATTTCAATGAAATGGGCTGCCCGGTACCATTTGATCCACGGACAGGTACCGGTCAGCGGACCGGGGGTTGGGGAACACTGTTTTAGTCCTCATATTTATTTAACATGGTGAAAAAGGATTAAAATACGAGATTTCTTTACTTTGATCCGTTTCAAATGAAAATGATCCACGGACTTATTTTTGAACAAACGAGTTTTATTCGAGGATACTTGCAACTGCAGAAGAAGGACAATGATTTTGCCTAACCCTGTGATTTGAATCAAGTTTTAATTAGATACCTGTAAGCGACGTCACATGTGTGTGTCTCGAACTTCATTGGAATGCCTAAATCGAGGAATGCCCCGATTTACCTGTGATGACGTCACTCGCAGGTATCCAATTATGTGCAAAATGTTTTTAATACCCTTAAAATATTTTTAGTGTTACGACTGAACATGCAATTATGAGTTTTTTTTCCAAGATGCAAATTATCAAAAATCAATGCACAATTTTGAAATCTTGGAAATTTTAATGAGCCTAAGTACAGAATAGGACTAAGTACAGAATGAGCCTAAGTACACAGAATAGGAATAAATTTTAAAATACTAAAAGAACTTGATCATAAATGCCTTTTCTTTTCGCAAAACACCGATTTTTTCTTATAATGATGTTTTGAGTTATTTTCAAAATCAGTACAAAATCAGACAATGGCTAAAAATAAGCTAGGATATATATAACATGAATATTTTTCGCCAACTCACATCAGTTATAAAAATAACATATTGTTCGCGAAAAAAGTATTACATTTTTCTGAACACAGAGCTTTTGAAAAAGAACTTAACCTAAAAAGAAATATTCAAAACTATCTCTATATATTACAAAGCAAATTCTGCAAATAATATCCAAATCATAATTTATAAGAAATTATTAAGAAACAAAATGATGATGAAAAAAATAGCATTTTTTCAAAGAAGCTAAGAAAACTAGGTATGCTTGCTGAAAAGTTAATCAATATAGTGGTCATAAATTAATAATGATTTCTGAAAACAATTCATAAAAAATTAAAATAATTAATTATTGAGATATTTCAAATACGCTTTGATTTAAAGCGTATTTAACTGAATGTTCAGTTAATATAATCGTCGTTAAATTCAATATTAATTTAATAAAATTTTTATAAATAATTAAAAAGTAATTAAATAGCTTTTTTAAATACACTTTGACTTAATTAAAATTTTCCATCAATCTAATGGTGATAAGCAAAATTAATAAAACGGTCATAAAACATATTGTTAAATTTATAATAATTTATCAAAACATTTTCATCAGAAATTAAAATAAAATAATTATGTAGATGAACTGCATTTTGATGTATATTAAATATTAACTATCTAAAAACTCTTGATTTTTTATATAAGAAAAACTTTTAGCTGTAGTTTAGAGGTTTCAAGTTCAGTTTGAAAATAACAAGAGGTTTTTATGCTAGATCAACATGATGGTGCTGCTCTGAACGTATCTGAGTGGCTAGAAAAGCAAGATCAGTGCTTTGAGGGTTCTTTCACAGAAAGTCCTCCCACACCTAGAGATGACCGAAGTTCTAAGTCAAAGATGATTATACCTTTAAGTAAAGATCTAAAATTAAGTAATAAGAATTTTATGTCAATAATTGAAGCTGATATAAAAACAATGAACCCTAGAGCACTTTACCTCGATCGATGCATTTATCCCAGTGATCCTGTTTTAGCCGAATTTGCATCTAGAGTGTATAAGGAAAGGATAAACAACTCCCAAAAACTAGAGGAAGATTGGGTTCTATTAACAAAGGCAATAAACTTTAGTGATGGCTACTTTGGAGCTGCGTATTGGAACTCTCACAATAAACACGTTGTTATTTCCCACAAGGGTACATCAAGTCCGGAGGATGTTTTGGCTTTCTTAGATAATCAGGGAAATCCATTAGAAAAATTCTCCTCTCAAATGAGTTCTGCGGCTACTTTTTCTTATTATATTCAAGAGAGTCTTGAATTGCTTAGTGAAAAGTTTCCACAGAATTTGACAATTTCCATAACTGGTCATTCATTCGGAGGCTGGTTAGCACAAATCACTGCTTTTACTACTCAATATCTTGTTCCTGAAAACGAAGAAGATAAAGGAGATTTCTTTTTCGTTCAAAATGACGAAGAAGGCTATCATGCGCATACAGCAGTCTTTGACAGTCCTGGTTGTAAGGACATGTTGTTGAAAATGGAAAGTGACTTTGATGTACGCTATAGTAGTACAGAACATCCATCCACTTTGTTGGATATCACAATTTATCTCTCCGCACCAAATTTAATCAATACTCTTCAATCGCATCTTAATGTTGGCAATTTATATCGCGTGTTTATTGAAGACTTACCTGATGGAACAACTTGTGGTAATTTCCTTCAGTACACAAAAGAGACTCATAACATAGACAAAATTAAAGCTTCAATGACAAAAATAATGAAGGTAAAAGACTGGCCCTTAATGAAAGATTATGACACTTTTACTGAACTAACGAACTGTTCTAGCTATTTCAATCATCCCACAGTTCATTATCACGTGGAAAGTATTGAAAAAGAAGAATGTTGTGCTAATATTTTCACGCGGGCTGAATTCGATTTTCTGATAAAATGCCATACATTAAAACATCTTTCAATGCTGTATATAGCAGACGAATTATTCGTCTTACTTCATCAGAAAACAGAAGGGATGATAAATAAAGATGAAGTTAAAGAAATGGTTCAAGATTTTGAAATAAAAGAGAGAAAAGGTAGTGGCATTATCAAGTGCGCTTCGAAAGAAAAGCTTCAAAAATTGATAATTTATGTCAAGAANGTTAAGAGAAGTAAAGAGATTGTAGAGCTTTTAATATCTCATGGTGCTGATATCGATGCTAAAGAAAACACTGATAGAACACCTTTGTTTTTCGCAAAGAACAAAGAGATAGCCAAGTTTTTAATAAAACGTGGCGCTGATGTTAATGCTAAAAGTAGCGATGGAAATACACCTCTACACGAAGCTTCTAAGAGAAGTAAAGAGATTGTAGAGCTTTTAATATCTCATGGTGCTGATATCGATGCTAAAGAAAACACTGATAGAACACCTTTGTTTTTCGCAAAGAACAAAGAGATAGCCAAGTTTTTAATAAAACGTGGCGCTGATGTTAATGCTAAAAGTAGCGATGGAAATACACCTCTACACGAAGCTTCTAAGAGAAGTAAAGAGATTGTAGAGCTTTTAATATCTCATGGTGCTGATATCGATGCTAAAGAAAACACTGATAGAACACCTTTGTTTTTCGCAAAGAACAAAGAGATAGCCAAGTTTTTAATAAAACGTGGCGCTGATGTTAATGCTAAAAGTAGCGATGGAAATACACCTCTACACGAAGCTTCTAAGAGAAGTAAAGAGATTGTAGAGCTTTTAATATCTCATGGTGCTGATATCGATGCTAAAGAAAACACTGATAGAACACCTTTGTTTTTCGCAAAGAACAAAGAGATGGCCAAGTTTTTAATAAAATGTGGCGCTGATGTTAATGCTAAAAGTAGCGATGGAAGGACACCTCTACACGAAGCTTCTTAGAGAAGTGAAGGAATTGAAGAGCTTTTAATATCACGTGGTGCTGATATTGAACTTAGAGAGATAGGAAGGGTGATTAGAGATATTTCCGGAGAATTTTACGAAGTCGGAGCTAAGGAGATATTTAATTAAGAATGCGTCATCCACTTTTTAGGCACAAAAAGGTATTGATCATATTAAAGCTAAATGTAAATTTTATTTTAAAAATATGTTTTAATTTAAAATTTATTAATGTAAATAGTTGAAAATGCTGTCAGGCATATGATCATTACCTCAGCGAATTTATTTCTGGATATCATAGAATTCCAACGCATATTCTAATGTAAGGATGTGTGTTTAATGAAAAAAGTCAAGTTTATGAAAAATTTGCAGTTTATTTTGCTGATAATTATGTGTTCTTATTTTTACAAATATTATCTATACAATTATATATACAATTATAATATTAAACAATTTTTTAATGTTATTTATTGTAATGCTTTTTTAAACTTTTAAACGTAAATAATTGAGCATGAATTGTATTTCCAGTTTCAATTCGTGAAAATTTGTTTGAGGGGCAACTCATGTCTTAAAATTAAAAATTAAAAGCCAGATTTTTTTAAAGTTTTGAAACATATCTATTTATAATCATGAAAAATACGCAAGTTTCTACAACAACTACTGAATTATAAAAAGAAATTATTTACAGATCTTTTAAGTTAAAATTTGAAAAAAGTCAATCTTAACGATATTTTCGTGTTTTATATAAATAATGTTTTTATATTTACTGTTGTAATTTAATGAAACTGTATTTTTAACCTTGTATTTCTGTTAATTATTTTCTGAAATATTTGTTATTTGACTCATATGAATGAGAGTATATTTTAATTATAAAGCTTCACAATAAACTCTTCGCCCATTAAAATTGATTATTGTTATTTTTAAAATTTTAGTTGTTAATATTTTACTATAGCATTATTTTCCGTTACACCATGAGGTAGCTTTATAATTTCAAACCCTATCCAACAGAGAAAGGAACTCTTTGGTGAAGCAAACTAGCATTCGTTAAGGACTTATGTGTTGATGCAAAAGGGAGGGGGACAAGTATTTTAATATATGCTTCAAAACTTTCTGAGTCCGTATCACTTCGTGTTTGGAAATTTTAATTTTTGGCCAAACAGTATGTAACTTTTAGACCCATCCAGCAGAAAAATCACGTTTTTTTTAATAAAAAGAAAGATAACAATACTATTTGAACTTATGAATACTGTTAAAAATGTTTAAATTCTGTTGAACTATATTTCTCAAATTTTTTAACAACTTTAGTCAGCTTGTCAAGTTGAATCAGACTATCGTGTAAATTAAACTGTCTAAAAGTACTACTGTTCAACTTTAACAGAAGCATGGTTCAATTGAACACCCAATAACCGTTGCCGGACATTTATGCCAGTGGTTCCCAATTTTAAGAGAACTTATTACCATGTTAATTAAACTATCTAAAAATGCAACAGTTCAACTTTACTGGAAGCATGATTCAATTTAACACCTAATTATCATTGCGGGGCATTTATGCCAGTGGTTCCAAATTATAAGAGAACTTACTATTATGTAAATTAAACTATCTAAAAATCCAACTGTTTAACTTCAATGGAAGCATGGTTCAATTGAACACCCAATAAATGTTGAAATGAAGCATGGTTCAATTGAACTTATACTAGTGGCTCCCAAGAGCAAGAGAACTTACTATCGTGTAAATTAAGCCTACTGTAATTACAACAGTTTAACTTTAAGAGAGGCATGGTTCAATTTGATACCTAATTAACGTTGTGAGACAGTGGTTTCCAACTGTTGGAGAACTTACTATTAAGTAAATTAAACTATCTAAAAGTACTTCAGTTTAACTTCAACAGAATCATTCTTTAATTTAACACCTAATTAACGTTTCAATACATTCATACCAGGGATTCTGAACAATGGGAGAACTTATTATCATGTAAATTAAGCTATTTAAAAGTGCAATAGTTCAACTTTAATAGAAGCATAGTTCAATTTAACTCATAATTAACATTGAAGAACATTTATAACAGTCACTCTCCACCGTAGGAGAACTTTCTTTCTTGGATAAAATTTTTATAATTTAAAGAGAGAAATGAAAATTTTCGCTATTCTAAACCAATGAATTGAATAATGACCCATTTTTTACTTCATGTTTTCATACAGTTTAATAATATATTTTGCATAGTTTGCGATTGTTTCTACTTCAATAAAAAATAATAGCTTGCGTGCAATACTACAAAAATGTATTTTTATTGTTTCGAAGTATGAGAATTCGTGCAATTTTAAGTATCACGATTATTTTTTTTTCAGAACTAAAATCGACTCTTCCCAGAGTTAAAGTTTAGAATGCGGTATTAGATAGCAATTTCGTTATCGAAATCAAAACAGTCAATATGATAGAGCTTAAAAATCGAAATTATACTATAGTTGTTGCCTTAAAATTTGAAGCTGATCTCGAAATATTTTTATGCTAGGTGAAAACAATGACTCTGCTGAAGATAAGACAAGAAGTAGAAGAAGACGTCAAAGACCTCTTTATGTGAATATTTTAGATGAAACCTCATCAACTTCAGAAGATGAGTATTCTCTGCCTATGAACGCAATTCCATTCCACGAAGATTTAAAAGTGGTAGATGTACAATTAAGTAATAAAAGCTTCGTATCAGCTATTGAATCCGATTTAAAGAACACCAATTTTATATTAACCACTCTTGATAGATGTATTTATCCTAGTAATAAAACTTTTGCGGAACTTTCATCTAGAGTTTATGATGATTATAAAAATTTTGGGCAACCACTGACACAAGAAAGCGACTGGAACTTGCTAACTACAGCGAAATCCAAAGATGGCTATTTCGGAGCCGCGTATTGGAATCGTAAAATGCAGGCAGTTGTTATTGCTCACAAAGGGACACGCTTAACAAGTCTTTATGATCTCAAAGCAGATTACTCTGGGATCTTGTTAAATCAATACATCCCCCGAATCAGTTCTGCGGCTACTTTTTCTCACAAAATTGCAGTGAAACTAAAAGAACTTGGTAAAAAGTATTCAGCATTTTTGACACTTTCCTTTACTGGTCATTCTTTGGGAGGATGGCTTGCCCAAATTTCAGCTTTCACTACTCAATATCTCACTGTTAAAATCTTTGGAAGCAAACAGATTTTTGTTAAAAGCGAAGAAGAAGCCTATCACACCCATACTGTGGTTTTCGATAGTCCTGGCTGTAAAAATATGTTGTCGAAAATGGAAAACGATTTCCAGACGCGATATAACGATAATCACCATTTAATCTCTCTGTTAGATGTCACAATTTTTCTCTCTGCACCAAATTTCGTCAACACCATTCATTCACATCTAGATAATGGAAATTTATATCGAGTGTTTATAAAAGATTTACATGAAATGACATCTTTATTGTACTACATAACGTATAGTGCGGAAACTCATAAAATGGATAAGATTAAAGATGTGTTTGCTTCTGAAGAAAGCAGTACCACAAAAGAAACAATTATGAAAATTATAGACTGGCCACTAGTAAAAGAAGAAGGGTTATTTAAATTATTTTTCAACAGAGTTATGAGTCGCAATCCCGACGAATATAGACAGTTTTTTCAAATAGCAAACTGTACTAACAATTACAATCCAACTGTGGATGGTTGCAAATATTGTAAAGTATGTTATCAAGTGAAAGAAATAAAAAACGATGGAAGATGTAGTGCTAATGTATTTACCCATGCAGAGTTCCAATTTTTAGTTCGATACCGGAAGTTTTATCAATTTCCCTCACATTTAATAGCCGAACATATGTTTCGCTCACTTGAGCAAAATACGGGAGTAAAAATTACTAAAGATGAAGTAAATAATATATTGAATGAGTTTCAGCTAGAAAAAGGAAAAGGACGAGGTTTTATAGTGTGCAAATCGAATAAACATCTAATAAACTTAATTTTTTTAGTAAAAAATATTTTGTTTTTGTCCCCTTTTATACATAAGAAAATGAGAGAGGAATTAAAGAACAATAGTAATATAAATTTATATAAAAATCAGTCTGATGAGTATCTTCGACCACTTGAATCTATCGAGCTGAAGAAGGCAACAATGCAAAATCTCATCGACTTTTTAGAAAACACTAACTTACAATTCCTACAGCAAATATTTGAAATGCATCGCTTATTAGGAGTAAAAAAAATACATGAAGTTCTTGAGAGCGCAAACAGTGAATATAAAATTGAAAATACGATTTTTCTAAGTCTGGAACAACTTATTGAGTTAGAATGTTCTTTTACGCTTGTAGGATTTTTGAAAACCTTACACGAAGCAACGCCTGTCTTATTTGTGGTTGAATGTGATACTGAACCGAGTAAAGCTGCTGCATTATTTAAGGATTTATTTAATGTCTTAAGAAATAATCATAAAATTAAGTTTATTTTAGTTTCCCAAAAGTGCAAAGATTTAAAATTTTGTTTAGAAGATAGCAATAGTTTTTATTGTGAAAAGAAGGATGATTCAAACATTAAACTTGCTGATTTAACAGATAATTCTCAAAATCAACTTTTAGAAAGGAAAGTTTATTTCCAAGGGGATGAGACACGTTTAGATACATTCATAACTGAGGAAACAAAGCATCTAATAGATGAAGAAATATTATTTAAGCTGATCAACAACGAAACAATAGCCATAGATGAAAAGTTTCTTGACTTAGGTGATCTGGAAAGTTACTATATTGAAAGAAAATTTTGTCGCCATGTAAAAATTAAAAATCTTATCAAAGAGGAAAAATCCAGATTTTTTATTACTTATAGCAATCAAATTGATAAATCAAAACTTAAACAATGTCAGGATATAGTGTTGATTTCTGATACGGACAATGATTTTAATAAATTGTGTAATGAACATGAAAATTATAGAGTTCATTGGTTAAAAGAAGAAGATAACCAATTTGAATGGCGAAAGTCTCATGGCAATCTATCAAATTTGCGTAAATTTATAGATATGGACAATGCGTCGGAATACCATGATGTGAATGGTGATGTAGTAGTTATAAGTTCAGCAGCGGGAGAGGGTAATTCTACTGTATTGAGTAGGCTAGCACAGATTATAAAAGAACGTGATAATTCTCTTTGGGTTGTAAAAATTAACTTAAAAGCTCATGCATCAAAACTAGAAAGTGAAAACTGTTTTAATGACCAAGGCAACATCTTTAATGTTCTCTTTAGCTTCGCAGATCTAAATACACCTTTGGAGAAAAAATTATTGACCCATTATGGAAGAATTGCTTTGCTACTTGATGGATTTGAAAACATTGCTGTTAAAGATAGAGGTAAATTATTGAAAGCTTTTAAAGATTCAAAAATTGAAAAACTCTTTATAACTACGCGTCCACACATGAAAGAGGAACTAGAAGATGCATTCGGCGTGTTATCGTATTCCCTGAAACCATTTTCTGAAAATGACCAGGAAACATTTTTGAGCAATTATTGGAGTAAAACTCCTAGTTGCAGTTTAAGGATAGGGGAATGTATTTATGCCAAAAAATTAATTGATTCTGTGTCTCAACTTATTTCTGATGAGAAAAAAGAATTTACTGGAATACCATTACATACAAGAATTCTTGCAGAAGCTTTTGAAAATAAATATAAAACGTTTTGTAATAGCCCTCATCAAAATAAAGTCAACTTACCTAATTATATGAATATAGTTGAGTTTTTTCCAATTTTTGTAAAAAGGAAGTTTGAGATGAGCTTTCATTTGGCAAGAATTCCTGGAGACTATAAAAAGATTCTCTTCGACGATTTTCATAAAAAACAAAACTTATTAGCACTATATACGCTTTTTAGTGAAAATGATTTAACACAACTTCTTTCAAGGAACAAAATTGAAGAAACATTAAATTATAAGTTTCAATGGGAAGAAGGTTTTATTAGTGAGATTGTCGATGGTAAGCCGCTGTTCACCCATATTAGTTTCGCCAATTATTTTGCTGCACGTTTTTTGTCTTCAGAAAAGAAGATAAAAAAGCAAAAAGTGAAACATTTTCTCCGTGGGCAGATTTTCAGAAAAGAGAATGAACTATTTTGCAGATTCTTTAACTACATGTTAACTGAGGATAAATATGGATGTGGGGTTCATATTGCTGTATTAAGCAATGATGAGGATGAAGTTAAGAGGTTATTATACAACACGGTTGAAGACATAACCTGTGCTACTGATAGGGCAGGAAGAACAGCACTCCACTTAGCTGTTGCATATGGTGACTTTAATATCACAATCATTTTATTGGAAAATGGTTTTAATGTTAATAAACGAGATCAACTGTTAGGTTGGAGTCCCTTAAATTACGCAGAAGAAGACGGAGATAAGAAAATTGCTGAAATACTCTTCCAAAGAGTGCCTGTAAAAGGGTATTTATGGAACTTGACTACTCAAATAATAGAATATATTCAAAGGCTGCGGATGGCAATTAGAATGTTACTTCCTTAATTGCACAACTTGCTTTAATCCAAAATGATGCTAACTTTTGTTAGAATCTTTGAATTTGACTTTTTGTAAAAAAGTTCTCTGATGAATTTTGTCAGGTACTTTTTTACTAAAATTAATCACGTTAATCTTAAATAACTAATTAGCCTGGTAGCAGAAATTTTGCAGTGCTGCAAATTTATCACAGAATCTGCAGATTGTCACAGTATCTGCAGATTAGTTTTCATACCAGATTTAAATAAAATGACTAAAATTTATTATTTTTTTAACTTGAAAGAGACAAAAGAAAAAGATTATTCGGCATGAAGGGAAAATAGTTTGTCATGGGAGCAGGAAAAAAGTGAGTGATTATTCCGTTAAGGTAAAAATCTTCTGAACTCTTCCGAAAATTTTAAAAATCTAAAACTAATCCGCATCCGCAAGCTGAAGAAAGTTAATAGGTTTTTTGTTTTTTTGAAAATTTCTATTAATTTTCCTTCATTAACTGGAATTATCAAAAAAGAAAATAAAAAAAAGTATTTTATTGTATTCCAATTTTTTTTTTGTTATATATAGTTATTCTAGTTTTATAAAAGCATTATATTGCATAAATTTTAAACTAAATGTACATAAATTTGAACATGATTTTTAGGTATACAAATTTTTCCATAGAAGCACATGACAGATTAAGCCCAATTTTTAAGGCAGTTTCTTCTGTGGCTGCGTTGAAATCACAGACAAATTTGAGTAAGTTTTCTGCAGATCGACTTAGCAACTTCTACCACCATAACTAATGGTGTTGAAAAATAATATTAATATATAGATAAATTTTTAAAAGCTGCTTATATCATAGCATCCAATACATTTAAGACAAATAAAATGAGCTGATTAAATATGCAAACCTTTTATCTCTATCACCCACCATTTCTTAGGTATAATTTTTCAACCATATATTTCACTGGAGTCATTTATTGTTACATCGAGTAATCTTGAACTTATCATTGGCTATGAAAGCAGTCAGATTAAATGACATCACATATAATCTACCCTACAATAATGACACTTTAAACTTTTGATATTATTTTAATTTTTCAAGACATACTCAAAGAAACATTTTGTAACCTTAGAGGTGTTGAGTTCGTGCGATTTTTTATATTTAACAATGAGACTTACAGCATTAAGAGATTTGGTAAAACGTACAATAAATAACGAAAAACGTATTTTTGAACACCCTATGCCAGAAAATCAAGCAATTGACTTGTAACTTGTATCGATTACTTAATTTGTTATTTTTAATTACTGTGATAAATTTCGTAAACCTAGTGTATATATTTATGGTGACATGGACATTTTTATAAAAAACATTTTTTTTATATAAAATTGTTCATATCTCTAAAACATGAAATTTTTTTTGTCATACGTTTCTTTGCTATAACTTTAAAAATATTCAATGGAATTTAACAACATTTTTGGAGCAATTTAAAATTAATTCCACAATCATTGTTTCAAAATTTTAAAAATAATCGTCGAAAACTGGACAAGAAATGAGTATTTAAAGTAGTTCGTTTATTACGTTATATTTTATAAAGTATTCTTTTACTTTAAGAAAAAAATATTTTTTTTTATAGTAAAAAGGTCGTAAAAAGATTTGATTTAAGTATCTTAAAAATTTAAAAAATTGAAAGCAATTTTCTAAGCAGTTTTCCTATTTTTTTTTTTTTTTNTTTTTTTTTTTTTTTTTTTTTTTTTTTTTTTTTTTTTTTTTTTTTTTTTTTTTTTTTTTACAGAAAGCTCAAAATGATTAGAGGCTTCCTACAAATTTTATTATTTATCATAAAACAAAATGTAATAGCCAATGATAATACCTTACAATAATCTTCTGGAAACCAAAATGTGATGGTATGAACGAAAACATACTTTCAGAGATGATCCCCTAAAATTTTCTTCTAATCTTTAATCTAAATCTTTTTTAATTGTATAAAATAAAATTTGTGAACGATCCCCTTACCCTATTGAGCTTTCTTTTAAAAAAGTACAAAAACTACTTAGAAAAATGTTTTAATTTTTGATGATATTCAAATCAAATTTTTTCATTAGGTGACAAATAACAATTCCCTACAAAATTATGAAACTTTTAAAACATTTTTTCTGCTCATGCGCAGCATAAGAGAATTACTTTCAATTCTCATATCTTGCGATCTATTGATATTTTATATCCATAATTTTGTAATGAATTTTAATTTGCTCCAAAAATTTTGTTTAATTCATTCTATATTGAATATTCTTAAAGTTATAATTAAAAAAATACGCGAGACAAAAAAAAATTGTTTTTAAAAATGTCTGTATATCCATAAATGTTTATGCTAGATTCACGAAATTGTATTGAGTTATTAAAACTATACAAGTTACAAACTTATTGCTTAATTTTCTGGTATAGGTTGTTCAGAAATACTTGTTTTTTTCGTAATTTATTGTAGATCTCCAAGCCTCTAAGAACTATAAATTTTATTGCAAAGTACGAAAAACTGTATGAACTAAACACTTTTAAAATTGCAAAATAATCCTTTAAGTATTTCTTGAGAAATTTAATTAAGATGTTAATTACTGAAAGTCCCTTTTTCTTATTGTAGGGTAGTCTATACTGTAGAAAAATACAGCGCATGTAAAATTGATAAGCACTAAAATATAATGATACTATTATGAACAGCACATAATTATGTATGATTGAAAAAAAAATCAAAACAAGTATTAAAATTTAAACTACATTTTATAAAAATGAATAAAAAGTAAATAGTGCTTCGTTGAAATTAATAAATTTAAATTACTAAAATTTAAACAGCATTCTGTTACATTTAATAAAATTTAAGCAGTATTCCTTTAAAAGTACTAAAATAAAAAATTATTTTATCAAAAGTAAACAATATTCCACGAAAACTAATTTTTTTCTTTATCTTAGAAGCTAGACGTGATAGAAAAATCATGCTAGATATCTCTACCTTGTTTATCAGCTTAATTATTGTAATCTGAAAGCTCAAAAACCCCTGAAGCTTGGAATCAACAGAATTAAATTTAAACAGTAATCCCTTAAAATTACTTAAATGAAGCAATATTCTATGAAAATTAAACAGTGAAAATTACTTTTTTTCTTTATCTTATAAACTAGTCTTCATAGAATAAAAGAGTTTACATATTATTTAAAATCAGCACAACGAACTGTATTAGAAAAATTAAACGTTATGCTAGATATCTATATTTTGTTTATTAGTCTAATTACTGTAATCTTTTTTTATTTTAATTTTTTTTTAAATTTCCAATGGCAGTCCAATTTAAAAGAACAAAAAGGATAAAATAACAATAAAAACAAGGCAAAAAGAGATACATAGAATAGAATGCATAGTGACATGCTTAGCCCATACGGACATTAGTCTCCCAGTAGCGTCCACACACAGTAGTGGAGATGAGCGCAGGACAGACGGAAATATGGGGCAAGTCCATGTCCTCCCCAAGGCGACAGAGCTTGCATTTAGGACAGTCAAAAATGTTTATACTAAAAAGGTGTTTGACCAGACACTCATGGCCCGTTACAAGTCTAAAGAGACAACAAGTCTTATTGTAATCTAAAAGCTTCAAATCAACTGAAGCTTAGAATCAACTGAATTAAATTTAAATAGTACCTTAAATTACTAAACCCTTAAAATTACTAAAATGAAACAATATTCTATGAAAATTAAAGTGTTCCACGAAAATTAATTTTTGTCAATATTATAAAAACAGGACTAAAATAAATGAAATAAAATGATTTTCATGTAATTTAAAATCACCATAGCAAACTAGATCAGAAAAAGTAAACATCATAGCCTGTTTATCTGCGTAGTATTTCAAATCAACTGAACTACTTTCGACCAAAGGTCTATCAAAGGTTCTACCAAAGGTCTGAACTACTTTCTACCAAAGGTTTCCGAGATTTTTACATTTTTAATAATAAATGGCTTTAATATAATCTTTCTGAACTCAGCTAATGGGGGACAGAACTTTTCTTGAAGATGCTACCATTAATAAAAATCTATATTATTCACGATCTGGCGATAAATACTTCTTTGTCAATAAGAAAATCCCTGTTTATATCTAAATTTATTGTGTAACTGCTGCAATTATTGTAAAAGTACTGCAGTGTATTTTTATAGCGAAAATAAAAGAGTTTTAAATTGGTATTAATTCAATTATTATGATTATATCAAAATTATTTTTGTTTCTATAAATAAATTTTTGCAGAGAAAAAAAAAAGATCTGCTGACAAAAGTTTTACCTGAAAATGATGTATAAACAGAAGAATTTACTTGTATCTTTGGTGAATTTATTACCTATGATTGTGGTTCCTAAATTTACGCTAGAAAATTCATTAGCGAATCATTTGTGTTTGATAAAATGCGATAAAAAAACCACTCAAACCACTCTGAACAATTTTTGATCTAAACATCGGACTTTAACTTTTTAGGACTCAATCATAATTGTTTGAATTTGTGACTTGATAGTTGTAACTTGATAGTTAGTGCGGACATTGCGCTTGTTGGTTAATGAGACCTAATTAGTGCTAGTTAGTTAACCAGACTAAAAAACGCACCTTCACTGAATAGTTATAATTTTTTTCGGTGGATTTGGATTTCTGATACTCAAAGTATGGAATGTAGCCCCAATTTCGGAAAAATGCTCTCAATAGTTTGGTCAAGAGAATGGTTTAAAGATTGGGTGCTAATTAATTTTAATTTTCCTTTTTCGCATTTCGCCATATTTCGAGATCTTTTGAAAAAGAATTGAAAACAATGTACGCATGAATAAAATTTGTTTATCCAATGATAATTCCACTCAAAATTTTTTTAACAATTATTTACTATTTTTTATTAATTTATTTAATAATACTAAAAAAATTAATATAGTAAGGTGTAAAAACTTTTACGTCGTTTTAAAGAGTGCAATTTTTTATCACAATAAAAAAAATGTTTTTGAACGAAATCGGTCGTATTATTCCTGAAATATAGAATTTCAAAAAAGTTATATATTTGAATAGATTCGATTCAAATTTCCTGCATTTGTCAACATAACTTTATCTAAAACTGTAAAAATAAGGAACTTTGCAACCGATTTGGTTCATTTCGTTGGTCGAGTTCATTGTAGCCGTTTCGTAATAGTAACCGCAATTATATGGAGAACACTCATGATTGAACTCAAGTGAAATTGAGTTCAATGAAGTCTCTGCCATTTTGTTAGTTGAGTTGTTAGTTTTTGTTGCGTGGCTCTTTATTTAAAAATGACTGCTTCTTGAAAGATCCATTGATGCAGTAAGCACTGTTAGCCAAGGTTCGTAACTAATGAGAATATTTTATTTTTAAAATAATTTTGACTCCAGGCATTCGATATAAACTAATTAGAAAATTAATTAGATTCGATATAAATTAATTAATTAGAAAATATATAAGAGTTTAAGCACTTGTCATTGGACGACACACTATGTTTTGCGCTTGACTACCATGAAGATTAATTAGCTAATTTTAAATACATATTGCAGTATTGCCGTCTCAAAAATACCTGAAATTGCAGCGAGCGTTTTTGTTCTCTTTCCATCAGACCCATGAAATACACAATTTCTACAATCTTTGCGTTATTTATTAATCGAATTCATGATCTTAATTGACGTATCCACTCTCTGAGGAGTGAAAATAACGCACCGACACATTGTGGGGAATCTGTCTTCAATTAATGAATTTCTACAATCTTTGCGTTATTTATTAATCGAATTCATGATCTTAATTGACGGATCCACTCTCTGAGGAGTGAAAATAACGCACCGACACATTGTGGGGAATCTGTCTTCAATTACAAATAGATCTTAACCTCATGGTTTTCTATTACATGTGTTAATACATCGGTGTACTCAGAATCATTGTACATTTCATGCCATGGCATTGAAATTGAGAAAGATGACAATACATTTAATTACATCTCCTCTTACTTGTATCAATAAATAATAAACATTTAAAACGGATGAACTTTGTCTTATGGCATTGAAATTGAGAAAGATGACAATACATTTAACTACATCTCCTCTTACTTGTATCAATAAATAATCAACATTTAAAACGGATGAACTTTGTCTTATGGCATTGAAATTGAGAAAGATGACAATACATTTAATCACATCTCCTCTTACTTGTATCAATAAATAATAAACATTTGAAACGGATGAACTTTGCCTTGAGGCATTGAAATTGAGAAAGATGACAATACATTTAATTACATCTTCTATCAATAAATGAGCAGCATTTAAAACGGAGGAGCTTTATTTAGCGATTATCTCTTTTTTTCCTTAGGCTAAGAGTAGATGATGTGCTGGACGTACACGCGGTGAATGTATCTCTGCGTATCTTTTTTTCCTTGCTTTTGGAAGTATAGAGAAGTATTCTTGAAGTCCCATGTTTAAGGGATTTAAAGGATTTGGCTGATTCTGATTTCGTTTTAAAGGATAACAATGCTCGACTTCATAGACCTCATTCTGTCTAAGATTTTCCGGAAAGTCAAGACATTCTCCAAAACATAAGCTAATTAGATTTCCAGGGCCAGAAGTCGACAGAAAATGTTTGGGACTAACTTGGTAGACCGGTTGCGGCTTCTAATTCTGCCGCTTGTGATCATCTCGTGAATTAGAAAAATGGTTATTCCGTGCCTTTTCTTTGTATCCGATTTCGATTCACCAACTGAAGATTCCGATGAAGATAGAAGATTTTCAGGAACGTGAAAAAATTTTCCAGAGCTTTAGCCAGTTAGTTTTGCAAGGCCTGGAATCGATGGAGAATATCTGAGATTACCTTGGTAGACAGGTTGTATCCTCCAACTCTCCAACTTGGTCATCTCGTGAGCTTGAAAAGGGTTATTGCGAGTCTGGTCTATGAACCCTATTTCGATTTTCAATATCTTGGGAGAAGATCAAACAACCAGTCCACCAATGCATTGCAGTTAGAAGGAAGAACATTCTTTACTAGAACCCATATTTGTTGTGTTTCTAAGACAATTTTTCACAGAAAATTTTGATGTGTGTACTGTTTTTTCTAAGAATAGACTTTATTGCTAAAGTGCTTTTATTTGTAAATCATGTTTGTTCTTGAAAAGATGTAAATTTTTATGTTGCATTTATCAAAAAGCTGTAAAGTGTACATTTTATTCAAAATTCTTGTTAATATGTCTATTCATTTTCAAATTAGTTCCAGAAAACAGGCTATATCTTAAATTTTGGCGGCACCACTTCTGAGTGCATGTATTCTGCATTACAATTCTTAACAGTAAGTATTTTTCGTAAAAATAAACATCTTAGCTAAGATTTTATTAAACTCCAAAATACAAATTAGTCCTCTGGCAGACGTCAGAAATGAGATTACTATTATTATTTTTAATTTAGATTTTTAATAGAACTAGATATTATGAGAAGTTCGATTTTCTATCATGTACTGATATTAAGATTTTTGTCAGATATGATGCACTAAGAAATCATAATACTTTCTGTTATTTTGTCGCAATTTTTATAAAATACAGGCCAGTAAAACGGTGATAGGATTTTAAACTTCTCATTTGCTATAAATATGTATTTTCAGCAAATAAGTGATGGATTTATTTGCAGTTTTAATGGCAAGTAAAGAGAATTGGGTAAAGTTGCTTGACCCATATGTTTTCTCTGATACTCTCGCATACTTAATAAATTTGATCAATGTATCCCTTACATAGGTCCCTCACTTAATATGAACAAAAAATAGCTTGAATACCGACGTTAATGAAAGCCTATAAGCTGAATTTATCTTTTAAGCAATAAAAATAAAGTTGTTAACAATGTTATGAGCCGGTCGCCGGCTGCGAACATTCCTGTACGTCAGTGTAACCGCCCCTTATATGTATACTTAACTTCATCCCATTTAGAAGTAGGACAAATAGTATGAAATTGATGTCCACTACTCCTCCCACACTGACCTGTTACCTCTGTCGCACAAGGGCACTGTCTTCTAAGAAGGAGTGAGGCATCCATTTCACGGACATATCCTCCGTAACCTGCTTCTAAGTCTCAATTCTATCCTAATTTACTCCATTTTCATTCCTGATTTAGACACCCTTGGAGATAAACGTGCCTTGCTTGATCATCGAACCAAAGGGCTAAGCTCAACTTCCCGCTGATGATGGCCGATGAGTTTCGATTACCAGGCAAAGCCTCTCACCGTCGATCTCATGCTGCCGATATGATTCCTTCCTCCTTCGTGTGTCTACGATGCAAGTTTTGCAGAATGCAGGACTTCTGTGAGTCGTTTACTTTTTTATGACAGAAATTCAAGATGCTTTGGTTTTCAAACACGGACAAAGTAAGTGGACACTTAAGAATTGTTGCAGTGGTTTGAACAAAGAACGTGATTTCTATGGTGGTATTCGGTCATGGGAATTACGCTAGTTCTCGAATTGTTCGCGACCATTTGCTGTTCATCCCGTTTGTCAGTCGCAGCTATCGCAAGTATGAGTCACCCGAAAAGTTTTACCGTCTCTCGATAGGTTAAGTTAGTAGAGGCGCCTAGTGATGATGAATACCACATTGTAAAGTAATCATCTAATCAGCGAAATGTTTTCTTCAAGAAAAGTACTGCGGAGTTCAAGATTGTTGACTATTCACAACTCTCCCTGTTACCATCCCATGTTCTTCCGGATGTCCATTTTGTCCTTTGGATTTTACTGCGCAAAAGTACTAATTTTTTCTCCCAATTTTCACTTCCGTTATGTCACCTCAAGATTTTACCTTATTTCCCGGATTTCATGATGAATGGTTAACTTCGGTCTTAGGCATCCAGGCAAAGCATAACCTTAATGACTGACTTGCTCCATTCGGTGGTAGATTTAGATCGATGACAACTGATATAATCGGTAGCCTAGACTCACATGGGTGACTTTCGAAGGCAAGCTTTTTAGCGTGGTGAAATATCGCCGTTTTTACCACGAGGAAAAGAACTACCAATGTTCAACCCCGAAGCCTTGTAATTTTGAGAACAATCCAGAAGACAAGGGAACACTTGGATCAAATATTAGGAGAAATTTGAGTTCACGGAGGACTTTTGGTTGGAATTTACCCGCATTTGTGTTACATGGAGAGGAAAACGACGAAAACCTCCCGAAATTAGCCTGCTGGCAAGGGGATTCTAATCATGATTCGTCTACTACCAAGGCTATTTTTACTTCAGCACTGTGGTTGGTGCAAGCCAAGTGCGAGATTCGTATCGAACAGCCATGGATGGGATTCAAACCTGGTTCACCTCATTGGAAGGCAAATATTCTATTCCTTGAGCCACAACGGCTCATACCATGCTATTTTATTTTATTTTATAATCGTTGTTCAACAGCCGACCCAATTTTGGGCTTACGACTACTAACGTTCAACTCCGTAGCCTTGTAATTTTGAGCACAATGCAGAAGACAAGGGATCACTTGGATCAAATATTAGGAGAAATTTTGCCTTCATGGAGGACTTTCTAAGGGAACTAACCCGTATTTGCGCTACATGGAAAGAAAAACCATCACAACCTCCCACGGTTATTCTGACGGCAAGGGTACTCTAACCCATGATGCGTCGACTACTGAGGATAATTTTACGTCAGGTCTGTGATTGGTGCGAATTGGGTGCTGAATTCGTATAGAATAGTATTTTCGGAAATTAATATAAAAATAATATTTTAATTAACAGTAATTAATTTTTTTTAACCCTCTGAGTATTTTTTCCTGTTTTTTTTCCTAATTTTTAGCAGCAAGCTTCCTGAGTAAGAAAACCGGTTTCTCCTATTTTATTCAATCAGGAAATTAGTGCGTAACTGGGAAATTTTCGTACAATTCTATGTTCTTTTTTGACCCCTGAAATATAGAAGGTGTTGTAATCTGGGAAATGGGGACCTAATTGTTTGGTTAGAAGAGGGGTCCAAAATTTTGGACCCCTTAATGTTATTTATACTATTATCTACGTATTTCATGATTCCCAAATTTTTTTAAAGGAATTGAAAATGTTTTGCACAAAAATATAAAATCCGTTTATCCAGAGATAATTCCAGGTAAAATATAACTTAGTAAAGATTTTTTTCATTTTTTTCTTTCTTTTAATAATTGCAAGAAACACAATTATGAGCATCATTTTAAAGTATGCAGTTTTAAATAGACAAAGAAGAAAAATTGGAATAAGTCGAATGGTTTCTAAGAAATCAAATTTCAAAAATAGGATTTTTATAAAATCATTACGTAAAAATCATTTTCAATATCATTAGATCTCTTCCTATTATTAGATCAAAAGTTATTCAGGGTAGTCGATCTTTATAATTTTTTATGTACATTAGGGTAATGCATTTTACTGTAAAATAAGAAAATGAATTAAAAGATTGAAAAATATGGAACGTGTATTTTGTTACAAATCAGGTTTTTGTGCTTGAACTGTTTTCTGGGTCACCCATAAACTATCCACACATTTTTAAAAAAAATTGCTGCATCCTTGTCGCTTAATTTATAAGGCCCTATTTATGAATGACTAAAATGTATTAATTATATGATCCATATAACCTAAACTTATAAGCATCTATTTCTTTTACGAACTAATTTCATCAGATACTAAAACACACACATCAATCTCAATAAATCAAAAGTTCACCTACAATCTCATTCTTCACACCAACATATAATCAAGGACACACTCTATTCTCTTTCTTAACATTAATACTCTTATGCTATAAGTCTATTCTTTCAATAAATTCTTCATAATCCTTACAATATTTATTAGCATTTATCGTTCAAAAATTAATTTTTATATATATATATATAAAGAGAATTGGGNGTTAATAATCAAGCATTCGAAATTAAATATTTTATTTACAAAAAAATAAGTCTCAAATGTTCTGCTTCAGATTTTATTTTATAATCGTTTGTTTACCTATTGCCGTGTTTGAATAAAGAACTATATATATATATATATAGATAGATAGATATACAGGCAGTCAGGCAGACAGACAGATATACAAAGTACGAAATCACTGATGCAAATGAAATTTACGTGGAAACTGCTGCATCGGGAGCTTTCGAACATGATGCTAAAATTAAGAATTAATCGATTCGTCTTTTCAGTAATTTAAAGAAGCAAAATTAACAGAAATGTTTAAATTCAATTTAAACAATGAAAAATTGTACCTTGCACTTAAAGATATTGAAAAAATTGATAGACTGGCAGTTATCATAATTTTACAGCTTAATGAAATCACAACGTCATCAAATGAAGAAACACAGATGGTTGTTGATTTGGAAGAATAATAGTATAGATAAAATTCAGAAACTATGTTATGATACAAAAGCAAGCAGCGCTGGTCAAATTAATGTTGTCTCTTTAAATTAAGAAAAATTGTTCAATTGTTACCCTTTGAACGTTTTTGCATGTATTATTCTTATAAAACTATTTTCAAAACTTTGTTTCAGCTTCTTGGCAAGTTCAATTTCCAGTTGTGGAAAAGCAGTAAACTAGAGAGTCAGTGAAATCTGCTCAAAAATCAATAAAAACATTTCAAGTAGTTATTAGCACAGGAGTTCCGAAGATGTCCACTTGTCCATTCTTGATTTTCTCGAATATCAACGATCTGCGAAATATTTACCAAGAACTGTTGGATCTAAATATGAACTTTCTTCGCCACATTTGAAAAAAATGGAATGTTATTTCTATAGAATAGGCAACTTATGTGTCCAGATTGCAATTTTAAATAAAATTCAGTTTTCTAATAGAAAAATTCGAAGTTGTAGTTTTTTTTTTTTTTTTTTTTTTTTTTTTTTTTTNTTTTTTTTTTTTTTTTTTTTTTTGCACAAGTGTACATAAGAATTTTTTGTATATCAAAAGACATTAAAGGGTTCATATTTCTTAACTTCATAATACAGTATAATCGAAATATTGTTAAAGGTTAAAATAATGGGTCAAAAGGTTAAATAAGTTACAGTTCTGCGAAACAATTTGGTAATCTTAACATGATATTTCGGAACAAAATTGTTTTTTTTAAATAACATTATTTAACTTTGAGTTTCTAATCATTAAAAATAAAAACAGTTGAAAATCTATTGATGGCAAAAAGGGATCTTACATTAATGCAACTAAAAATCTGTATATTTAAAAAATATATAAGTTATACATAATGGTTAATAGGAAATAATTTTATTTGTTTACGTTAATTACACCTTTTCAGAGCCATATCATCTATATTTATAGGGGAACCCTTATGTATAATTTAACAGTCCTTTGAAAAAAGAACTGGATATAATTTCATTCAGATTGTTATGGTTACGGAAGTCATTTAAATAAAAATTATAGTTAGATACAAAGAATACAAAACTCGGGTAAAGCTACTAAGCATGTATGGCAATGGCATTTTTAATGAAGGAAATCAATTTATAGTTATCAAACCAAAATATACGGTATTTAAAAGAATCAATTGGTATATTGTTGTTGTTGTTAATTTACGTCGCACTAGATCTGCACAGTGAGCTATTGACGACGGTCTGGGAAACATCCCTGGAGGATGATCCGAAGACACGCCATCACAATTTTATTCCTCTGCAGAGGGGATGGCACCCCCGCTTCGGTAGCCCAACGACCTGCGCGCGAAGTCGAGCACTTTACGGTAGCACAGTTTAACGAGGACCAATACGGCACACCCTCGGCCCCTACGCAGGCTGATCCAAGTGGTTACCCACCCGCACATTGACCGTAGCCAGTGATGCTTGACTTCGGTGATCTGCTGGGAACCGTGTCTTAACGATCAGTTCACTGCAGGACAATGGTAAATTGTCCCGTTCGTTATGGTAATTGTTTACCAGAAATTCTGGTTTTCAAAACTGTAGTTCGTATTACCACCCATTTAATAAAAATACATAACTGAAAAGTAAATTTGAACAAACAACTAGATTTATCCCATGTTCTAATGTATCATGAAAAGGATTCGAATTTTACCATGTTTACTACGATACCTTGATAGTACATTTACTACATTTTACCACATAACAGCACAGCTATAAAACTCGGTTAAAATTAACGGTTAAAATTCGGCTTCGGTTAAAATTAACATGATTTTTGGTGTTCCCACAGAGTCAAAAACTCAGTAAATGTTACCATATTTTGTTAGTTTTACCCATAGTTCTTTTCTCTGTGAACGAAAAGACACTTTTAGATATTCTATTGTAATTGTTAAATTTGAATTGCAATAAGAATAGTTTTTCTTCTACAGTCTCTTTTAGAAGAAACCTAATTTTTATTATTAGTAGAAAGGGAACAAATGTTGTTATGTTGCTACTCAACGTTGTCAATAATGCAGTTTGTAGATTGTAGTAAAAGAAGCCGTGCCTACAGGCAGCTTCAGATTTCTTTGAGCAGAAGATCAGGTCAACCAAGGGTGAAATCGAAGCATTTTGGTATAATCAAGCGAATACGCACAAGTCAACCAGAAAGATGTATATTAAATTCTTTATGCGTGTCTTTTAATCTATCAAGACTTTTGGTAGTTAAACGGAATGCATGTTACTAAAATTAATTTCGAAAAAAAAGTGATTGATGCGATATCTTCTTGCATTTTTTTATCTGTTAAAGCACCAAAACTTATTAGATTTTTTAAACGTATCCTTAAACAAATTCCTTTCAATCATATTTAAAAGCGTCACTGTATTATGTTATAAATAGTAAATTTATAATATTAACAAAACTACTCCTCGTAATACCATATATGGTAAGTTGGGCAACATATTTTTTAATATTTTTTAATATATAATTTAGAAATTGAAAAAATTTAATTGGAGAGAAAATGAAGTTATCAAAATCTGACAAATTATTATTTTGAAAGGTGAAATTGTAAATATTTACATCTGTCTCTTTTGTCAGTTAATACTTGAATGCGTATCTAATAACGGCATTTTCAACTTTTTTTTATTCCTCTAGTAACCCTGGTTTCGACTTTTATAAGCTCACTTTCCTCAATAGTTATTCATCATATAAAAACAGCTTCTTGTTTTCGTTTCCACTTAACTAACATTTCGCTAACCATAACCTGGATATTATATAATATAATTTTTAATATGAATTCGAAAAGTGAATTCGGATAGGCTGCAAAATTTAAATGCTTTCGCTCTCTCTAAAATATCAAAGCTTCAAAATTTTTAAAACATGTTTTTGATTATAATTATATTATGGATAACATTTGGGAACATATTTTTGTGGCATTTATACAAATACTTGATCTTGCCTAATTCGGGTGTGGGAATTACAAATCTAAAATTTGTTTTACTCCCAAAGCTACAGATTTTTTAAAAAATAATATTTTAATATATTTTTTGTCGAAATATACAAGTTTAAAAACTTTATATATAATGGGGGGTCGCATAAATGATGCGATAAACTTCTACGGAAGTTAGGGTTCATCATTAGAATCGAAATCGCATAGGAACCCATGCTCGGAAATGTTCACTGCTAGAGTCACGTCTCAATTAAGACCTGCTTAGAATTACATAAGGAAAAAGCTCATAGTAAGGAAGCGTCCCTAGTAGCGTATAATGACTTTCCTGAGCATAGGTTTATACAATTTTAATCCTGCTGAAGTGCCTTAACTTTCCTAGAAGTTATTTATTATACGCTATATACCCAACCTGTCTGTTATATATAACGTTTTCAAACTTGTATACTTCAGCAAAAATAGACTGAAAATGTTATAAAGTTATAAAAAAAAACTATAGCTCGGAGAGAGAAACCAATTGCAGATTTGCAATCAACGATACAAAGTACTTTTAAAAAGTCTCATACAACTTCTCAACAACTAATAAATCTCATACAATAAGAAAATTTGTTCCCCTTTGTAATTTCAAAAGCTAAAACATGGTCTTGGGATTAAATGCCATAACCTTGCAATAAAATTAATTTTATTTTCTATTGTTTCATTGCTATTGAAATAGCAGCAAAAAATGAAAACAAAATGACTTGTTAGTTAAGTGAGAAATTTAAGAACATCTTTTGTTTGATTTTATTCATTAAAATTGCATTATATGAAACAAAGATCAATGACATTTTATGACTTTAAGTAAGACATTTTATATAAAAAAATAGAAAACATTTTTTTTAAAATTATTGTGTTAGCATATTTAAAAAAAAAATATAAGTTTTAAAAAAGAATTACCGTCTTTGCGCATGATGCAATAGGAAATATAAAATAATAATTAAAATAACTTTATATAATTTAATAAAAGTAATTCAATAATAATTAAAATAATTTTACCTTTTCCATTGAAAAGTATATTCAAATATATCATATATTGAAAAAAGTTAGTTGTTCCGTTTTAAATTACGACATTACAGTATATTGTAGTAATGTTAGATTAATGACCTAGATTCGTTTTAATAATGGGTTTAAAAAATTTAATGTCCCCAATTTACATCTTATTTTTCTTTACATTTTAAGCTTTTAAAAAGCTTAAACTCCGACAGAGAGCAGCACTATCAATGCTTTAAAATATGCTTCATTCTAAAAATTTTCTTGGAGAAATAAAAGTGAAATATGTTCTTACGAAGAAAAATAATTCGATTTCTTATTTAAACAGTACTTTTAAATCCGCATATTAAATTTTGAAGTAAATAATATAATTTGTAGAAGATTAAAAAATGAAAAAATTTTATATTATTAATTTACTTTTGAAGTTTTAATATTTTTTAAAATATTAAATTGCAAAATAGAAATAGAAAATATGAGATCATTACATGTATGAATTATCCGATTTTCAGAATTAAACTGCACCAAAAAAGTATCATGTTGAACATTTTTGTTCTTTGTTCTTATGATTAGCTTTCACAAACTAGTTATCAATTTTAATAAATCATTAGATTGACTGGAAGTTTGAACTTATATTGCTATAATTTGAGATGTTTTTGCGTTTGAGCGAATCAAAACGTCTGTGTACACACTATAGAAATTAGTTTATAAAAAAAGTTAATGTAAAAATGAATTAGTCGTAACTATTTATTTACAACTTATTTAGTAATTGTCGAAAATGTTTCAAACTATAAGAGATACAATTACTTTTTTACAAAATTTAAAACTATATAATTTCAAATAATAAAAGTACAAAGCTTGAACAAAATCAGTCAAATAGTTTATGTGAAATAAAAATCTAAAAACATGACTATTTCTTTTTAAATTTAGCATTTTTTTTCATTTGAAAAGACCGCAAGGAAAGATTTAAAAAAATATTTCATAAATTATTTGCGTGTCTAATAATAAATATTATAAAAATTATTTTTTATGGATTATTTATTAAATAAATTCTGTGCATGCATTTCTAGATTATCTTAAAAAGTTACTGAAACATGACTGAGCTGAAAGTTAATGAAACATGACTTTGAAAAATAGCTTCTGAGAACCCAGCCATGAATGGCAACATGTCCGTCAAAATAATGAAACGAGCCAACCGCTTGTTAGTCACAATCAGACAAGCAATTTTCAAACAAGCAATGCTCTGACACACACAGAAAGGGTTCACAAGAATGCCTCCATCTCATTATCACTCTTCTCTGGCCTGCTTGATCCCCAGATACGTTACCAAAAGAGCACATCTGGAACACTTGGGATGGCCTACGATTTTAATCGATTTTCAGCAACTGTGGAACGAGATGCCACAAAACATCAGAACGGACTTTCTTGCCTTAATGCCCAACTGCATCGCATCCTGCATTCACGATAGAGGTTACCCAAAAGAGAATCTTTAA